CTGCGACCCTAGCTGCTGAAGTACAGGCTAAGGCCACCCATAGGTACCCACTTCTGAAAAATCTGAGTCTTAAGATGCTGGAAACATGTTCTGATTTCTAGGGATCCTTGACCTCCTTTCCTGTGAGAGATCAGTGCGGCTTTAGGGTTGGGTTCATAACCCAGTTGGCTTCCAGCCTAAGGCATCCCTTTCAGGTGATTCTCCTTTTTACAACAGGCATCTAAATGGGGGAGGATTTGCCCCTCTCTCCCTAAATTCTCTTAGGAGCCCAGACAGGGACCTTGGATGACACATCTAGTCAGCTAAAATCAGCTGGGATGAATCCCAGCCCTGAACACAGCAACAGGAGTTTCTGGGGGATGGAGGCTGGACCAGCAGAAGGGGCTGCTGAGGTCTCCCACCCCACCCACAAGCGGCAGGAGAAAAGCTCAGTCACCACCAGCAGGATTTAAATTAATGTAAACTGGACTTGGCTTGCTGCCTTTTTCTATGATAAAGATGCTATGGCCACAGCAAAAGTGCCAGGGAAAATCCAAGAGAATTTCCATTGAGAGCTCAGGCAAAATAAGTCCCACCAAGGTGGAGCAGTGTCCCCACGGCAGTCTGCTGCTCAGGACACCTGCCTTCCAGCTCCGTTAGTCCCTGGATACACCATCGAGAGATTATAATCTTTATTTTCAAAAGCCCTGCACTCTAGCCTTCAGATCAGGTATTATTGTTTAAATTCTTTGACAGCTAGATATTCTGATATATTTTCCAGAGGGAAAAAAAAAAAGAGCTGAAGAGAAAAGGTGTCTTTAGAGGGTGAGATCTTCTGCTACATGCTTTTGCCTTATTGGCCCATTTAACCTAAACCTTCCTGAAAACTCCCACTGGAAGAGATTGGAATTCCTCACATGTCTAGGTGAAAAGGATTACATATATATGTTGAAAAGCTATCTTCCAGCTAAGAAAACATGAAGTCAGGGAGATATGTGAAGGTGGCAGAAAATATGCCAAATTATCTTTCAAATATTTCCTGGGAGTGGGAGGACGAGAGCCAGAAAAGCACAGGGAGAGAAAGGAGAAAGAGGGCACCTGAGAAGTGTGAGGTTTACACGTACCTACCACAAAGGCCTAAGAGCCAGCCAGTCTCAGATAAAAAAAGAGACAAAGGGGAAAACACAATGAACGTGCAGAAGGACTGGATACTTCGAGTCTATCCTCCATTGCTTGCTTTTTTTTTTTCCCCCAGGTATAAATCCTGCAAAAGGAACTGCAGAGAAAAAGCCGCTTACGCTGCCCGTGGGCATCTTGAAGCAGGCCAGCTAAAACAGATTTCCTGGAGAAAAGGCTCTCAGAGGGGACCAAAATTTTCTTGCTTTTGTTGCACTTTTTTTCTCATGCAATTACAAAGCCGGGGAAACTATTCTTGGCAGTTGAAACCATTTCCAGTTAATGAAGAGGAAGGATGTACAGATACGCTGAGGCTGGGACCACAGCGTCTGTGATGGAGGGCGGCTTTACAGTTTAGTAACTGATGCTATGAACCGAGACAAAGTGCATTTCCATAGTTCACAGCATATACCGCATCTGACGGGAGAGTAAAATTTACTCTCTGGTAAGATTGAATCTTCCAGCGAGAACCCCAGCATGGCCAAGGGGTTCTTATATAGTTGAAGGGGTGCTTAAAATAGTTGAAACCTGTTCAAACACGGCCTACCCCCTACCAAAACCACGTGAATCCCTTACAGGACCACAACATAGGAGAGAATGACCCTGTCTCCACTTCACATTCATGATGTAATGACAAGGGAATAATGCCAAAATTAGGTAAAGTCTGGAGGGTTTAATAAAGCCCACAGGCTATGAACAAGTGAGGGAATCTAGGCTGCATCCTCACATTTTGTTTGCACGCTTGTATATTCCTCCAAATTGTACCATTTTAAATAGTTATAACCCATACAACCCAACTTCCTTCTCAATTATTCAGGTCCAAATCAGGAGCAACCACCGAAATCAATAAGGCTGGT